ACCTTGTTTCTCTCCAACTGCACAACTTTCTGTAAGACTACATCTCCTCTTCCTCATCAGTTCCTCTAGATTACAGCATCTCTCTCTGGTCCACAACACACTGCAGAAATAATCCTGTTTGAGTCCGCTTTAACTGCCCTTGGCAAGATTTGTTCAGAGGAGGCTTGCCATTGCCTTCCCCTGAGGAGGCTGAGAGACTGTGACTTGCCCAAGGTCACCCAGTAATGTCCATGGCCAGACAGGGATTCCAACCCTGGCTTCCAGAGTTGGTAGTCCAGCACTCAAACCATTATCCCTCTGGCTCTGTCATCCCATAGCTAAGTCAGAAGGGGTGAGCCTTGGTGGGGTCGTTAGTCACCATTACATAGAGAAGCTGTCATTCAAATAATAACCCCAAATCTAACAGAAATGAGAAATTTGTAAAATGGCATGGGCTGAGAGAGTGTGACTTTTGCCCAAGGTCACCCAGGGAATCGAACCCTGGCCTCCAGAATCTCAGCCCAACGCTCAAACCACTACAAAGCACCGCCTCTCTTCAAGGCAGCATCCCCTACTTAACAAAACCGTAAATAAAAATCCCTGCGCGCCAGACTAGTTTTTTGAAAGGAACCGGAAGCGGAAGTTGTAATAGCGGTGGTGATTTTTAGGTGTTCCGCCATATCTTTTCGGCCCTGCCTGTCTACGCCTCTTCTTCCGCCACCCACTCCCCTCCCCTCCCCTCCCACCAAGTACCCGGATGAGAAAGCATTCCCTCCTTCAGGAGAGAGGGACGCTACGGCAGGAGTTGCGCATGCGCCTGGCGTGGCCTCTGTAGTAGGCGAGCCGGCCGAGAAGAGGAGCGCGCAAGCGCGGTGGCGGCGGGTTCAGGTTTAAAGGGGTAGGACCTGCAGTCGCCTCCCCCTCAGCCTCTCCCTCTTGGAGAGGGGGCTTATTTAAAGTTATTTATTTATATCCATATATCTCTAGGAGAGGGGCGGGCTGAGGGGGCCCTTCCTTCTTTCCTTCCTTCGCCCGCTGGGGAAAATGGTTTGTGGGGGCTTCGCCTGCTCCCGCAATGCGCTGTGCGCCCTCAACGTCGTCTATGTGGTGAGTCTGGGGCCAGAGAAGATGGAGGAGGCGGCGGCGGCGGCGGCGGCGGCGGGGGGGGGGGCTCAATGGGGATGGGGCTGAGGAGGAGGAGGAGGAGGAGGAAGCCCTTATTGCCCAGGAGGCACCTCAAAATATCCTTTTGGACGAAGAAACATGAATTTACATTTTAAGACGAGTGTCTTTGGCTTTCCTTCAGTCATGTCCTCCATTTTACAGTGCCTTGTCCTCCCCTATAGTTAGGACATATGGTCACCCTGGTCCAGGAGTCACTGCAAAATGGGACGTACTAAAACAAAGGACAATACTTGCCCATTGAGAATCATTGGAGAATACTTGCCCATAGGGAATCATGGGGATTACTTGCCCATAGGGAATCATGGGGAATTCCCTATGGGCAAGTATTCTCCATGATTCCCTATGGGCAAGTATGGTTTCCCTATGAGCAAGTATTGTCCGTTGTTTTAGTATGGGCCTTTGCAGACTGCCAGAAATAGTGCACATTAAATTGAGGCACTGCCCTGGCTCAGTGCTAGGGAGTCATGGGAACTGTAATTTATTGTGGCACCAGAGCTCTCTCACAGAGAAGGCTCAATGTCTCAGAAAAAAATATAGTTCCCATGATTCCCTAGCACTGAGCCAGGGCAGGGCCTCAATTTAATGTGCACTATTTCTGGCAGTCTGCAAAGGCCCTGAGTCCCCTTCAGAATGTCTTTTATTGTCCAGAACCCTGGTCCAAGAGGCATTTTCATTTATGATTTAAGAAATATGAATTTGCATTTTAATATGAGTGTCTTTGGCTTTCCTTCAGTCATGTCCTCCATTTTACAGTCCTCCTTTGTGGTTAGGATATCGGGTAACCCTGGTCCAGGAGGCATTTCATGATGTCTTTTTTGATTGAGAAGCGTAGATTTAAATTTTTATATGAGTGGCTTTCACTTCTCTTTGGTCATATCCTCCACTTCTCTTGAATGTTCTACATTTCATGGTGTCTTGTCCTCCTTTGCAGTTAGGATGTCTGGTCACCCTGCTCCAGGAGGCATTTCAAAATATCCTTTACTATAGACCCCTGCTCCAGGAGACCTTTTGATTAAGAAGCATGAATTTACATTTATATTAGTTTTTTTTTGCTTTTCTTTGGTCATATCCTCCACTTTGCTTGAATGTCCTACATTCTGTGGTGCCTTGTTCTCCTTTGCAGTTAGGACATCTGGTCACCCTGGTCCAGGAGGCATTTCACAATGTCTTTTATGATTAAGAAGCATGGATTTACATTTATATATGAGTGCCTTTGGCTTTTCTTCAGTAGTGCCTTCCATTTCATGGTGCCTTGTCCTCTTTTGCGGTGAGGACACCTGGTCCTCCTGCTCTTTCTCCACCTGCCCCCTTTCCTTGCAGGCCAAGGTGACCAAATGTCCTAATTGCAAAGGAGGACAAGGCACCATGAAATGTAGGACATTCAAGAAAAATGGAAGGCATGGCAAATGAAATCCAAAAACACCCATATAAATATAGATTCATGCTTCTTAGTCATATTCAAAATGGAGGATATTTGGAATTCCTCCTGGACAGAAGGCTGCAAGGACGACATGTCCAGAATAAGGAGGATGTCTGGTCACCCTAGGAAGAGGGGCAGAGTCAGGGCAAGGCTGGAAGGAGGAGGTGTGTGAATGGAGAGGCTTGTCCATAATGGGGCCACTGTTGGCTCTTTTGAGGGTTTGGGGTGAGATGAGGGATACAAGAGGGAGAAGGAGCCCCCCCCCAAAGGTTATATTCTGGCTGTCTCATTGTCTCCCAGTGTTCAGCTGGAGATGGGTATGGGTGATATTGAGGCCATAACATCCTCTTAGTGACCTGCCCCATTACACTCATTTGAGGTCAGTGTGGCGTAGTGATTTGTGTGTTGGACTATGACTCTAGAGATCAGGGTTTGATTCCCAGCTTGGCCATGAAACGTACTAGGTCGCCTTGGGCAAGTCACACTCTCTTGGCCTCAGAGGACAGCAATGGCAATCCTTCTCTGAACAAATCGCATCAACAAAACCCCAAGGTAGGATTGCCTTAGGATCACCATAAGTTGGAAATGACTTGAAGGCACACAACATACAAACTAGCGCAGAGTACTGAGAATACTGTGGATAGCCAAAAACAAACAAACAAATGGGTCCTCAAACAGATGAAGCCTGAAATCTCTTTGGAAACCATGATCAAATTGAGGCTGCCATGAATTATTAGAAAAGACAATAATGCTAGAAGGGTGGAGGGAAGTAGAAAGAAAAGAAGATGGCATGCTAGATGGATGGATTCAATTGGGGAGGTTGGGGGTCTGAATTTTCAGGAAGTATGCAGAGAGATATCTTATCCACAGGGTCACCATGAGTCGAGGTAGACTGAAGGGCAACTAACAACAATACACTGCACAAATAAAGCAATTTGACACCACTTTAATTGTCCTACCTTCAGCCTGTGGAATCCTGGAATTTGTAGTTTAGAGAGGTATTTCAGCCTGGTCTGCCACAGAACTCTTGACGCCTCACAAACTGCAAGTCCCAGGAGTCTGTAGAATAGAGTCATGGCAGTTGAAATGATAATGGTGTCAAGCAGCTTTTTGCAGTGTGGACATCCCCTTCATCCTCACCCCACAAGAGAAGGAAAAGGGAATGTGAAGATGAGAGGATGGCCTCAGCTCTTTTGTAGAGGCTACTTTTCACAGAAATAGCCCTGTTAATCTGTTGTGGCATAAAAAGGGGAGGGGAAGTAGGGGAAATCAAGCAGGACCTTTAAGACTGATTATCATTTTAGCATGAGCTTTTGTAAAGTCCGTTACACTTCTTCAGATGCAATACAGTGTGATACTCTTTAACCAAAGCACCTGAGATGTTAATATCACTCTGTATTGCATTTGAAGAAGTAGATGGATATCCATAAAAGCTCATGCTAAAATAAAAATCATTTAGTCTTAAAAGTGTTACTAGACTGCCTCCCCCCCTCCACTTTTCTTTGGCCGTGTGTGTGCGTGTGTGTGTTTAAATTGGAAAGAAAGAGGCCGAAACTCGGTGTGCTTCCCATTTTACTGTCTGGGATGTGATGGATGCAGGCATCAGAAGGGGATGGGAGAAGGCTTGTGAGGTGGGAAGGAGTGTTTTCTCCTTGGGAATAAGAATTTGGTTTAGCAAAGGTGGTTAAATCCAATCATGCTGTCTCAGTGTGCCATCAGACTGTCATAGAAAATAAGGTCTTTGCAGTAATACCTACTCAACAAAAATGTTGTCCAATTTAAAGGGTGGTTGGCATGGGAAACATACTGGAGCACTTGTGTCTGTTGTTTCTTTTCTAGATCGTCCCCCCCCCCCCCCCCCCCGGTCCCCCAGTGCTTGTTTACTGGGGAAACTTTATTTTCCCTGCACTTTTGAAATACTACTTTGACTTGTTTTTCTGACCAATCTTGTGAACTGAGATTACCATTGCCTCCTTATTATTTTTTTTTAAATTCTTTGACATGTGACTTGTGGCCCGTAAGATAACACCACAACAATACTATATCTGGTTGAAATAGGCCTGAGCCAAACTGCAGGAGGGGCTTGATCTTCTAAGGCCCATATCTTATAAGACAGGGGTAGGCAACCTTTCCCCTTTAAGGGCCGAGGGACTTCAACTCCCAGAATCCCAGGAGCTATTGGTCAACATGGGACTATTGGCCAACATGGCTGAGGCTTCTGGGAGCTGAAGTCCCTCAGCCCTTAAAGGGGAAAGGTTGCCTACCCCTGTTCTAAGATATGAGCAATAACCTGCAATGATGTAAAAGACCTCCTAATCGAAGTATAGTACAGGTATTTCTTTTTCAGTAGCAGGACATGTTGTGGAATGGTGTTTTTAGTATATCCTTCCTAGCTGTGTGATGGACCACATTAAGTAAAGTCTGCTTCCCCTCTCAGGAAAAAACATTACCAGGAAAATCTTAGTAAATATGTGAGGATGGATGGTGAGACTGCATATGTGCTGCTATGAAGTGTAACATACAGTGCTGGGACCTTGGGCGAAGGAAAAAATAGAACTCTTAAGAGGGCCCTAAGACTGATTAGTGTGCTAATGTAGGATGCAGTCCAAAACGTACTTGCTAGGGATTAAGTGGCATTGGACACAGCTCTTACATCTGGGTAAACACATATAGGATTGCAACGGAAGGAAGGAGTAACATGAGTAACAGAATATTGAAAAAAATTGCCAGGTGCAGAATTTGTTCTCTTGAGTCTCTCCCAGAGTAGTTTATTCTGTATCCATAAATCACACAGCAATGCTTTCCCTTCTGTCATCTCATGCTGAAGTCCCTGTAGGTAGTAGGAAAAGAGGGAGACCACATGAAAGGTTCAATGATTCAGTCAAGGAAGCTACAGCCCTGAATTTGCAAGACCTCAGCAGTGTCTGATGACTGAAGATCATGGAGGTGTCTCTAATTCATAGGGCCGCCTTAAGTCATTGCCATTGTGATGGCAAATAATAAAAACTTCTTGACTAGGTGGATATTTTCTTCTATAACATGGGTAAGGAACATTTCATTTACATGCCAGTGATGGCATAATGCCGAAGTGCATACTAATGTGAACAATACGCATATATCCATACACACACACACACACACATACATATATATATACACACACACACACACACACACACACACACACAATATTTGTTTGACAAGCTACCTTTCATGACAAAGTCCAAATGAACACACATCAGTTTCTCTGCATGCATATGCATACAAAATACATCTTCATACATTTAAAACACATCGGTTCTCTCACATAAACACATATAGTTTATAAAAGCTGAATGTGATACTGTGTACCACTAGGTAGCTAAGGAATGGGGAACAGATTTTGTTTCCAGCAGTTTATATCCTCATGTGCAACACTTGCAGGTTGTAATCCAATCAAAAGTGTTTCTTGACTTTTTTTAAAAAAAAAACTCTTGTCATTTTATGGTCCCTAATGCTTTGAGAAACTTTATGCATATTATTTTGACTTTCCATCATAAGGTTGAATGGTAACCATTACTTATAGAAAAGAAAGGAGGGTGCCCAAGGACACCGTTGAAGTGGGGGCTGATTCAGCTCCTTACCTTGGCTTAAGAATCAAGAATATTCCTTGTCTGCCTGCTCGACTGCAGAGCCCCTTACTGGGTTAAATAAAAACCATTCACCCATTTTTAAAATCTATAATCGGTTAATATGTATTAAATAGGGAAATGTGAACCTGACTTCATATCTGGAGGGAGTCCTTTGTCATGCCAAATATGAGAGAACCTGAGTGGAAACATTCTTTCCTTCCACCTCCTGTAGATTGTTTTCCTGTTGAATGCCTTGGGGCTTGTAATTTAGAGGGAATGGGATGTACGTAACCTGTGGTGAACTTTGTGTTAAAGTACATTGACCATGTTGCTGGTCCACATGTCGTCTCTTTCTTTGGACCTGCTCTCCTTATTTTGAGTACAGTGTGAGTTAGAAACCCTGAGTCAATCATGAAGTAACTTCTTTCTTTTAAGTTGGCCCTTATATGGTTCAGAAGCTCTTTCCCCAGAGCAATTTTCAAACAGTAAGAGTAAAATAGGTGAGAGCCACAGCTGCAGCATTTTGCTGCTTCTTCTCTGCCCTTGGATGGCAGAAAGACCTCAGGTCCTGGAGGGAAGGGCTTGCATACCCAGCAAGGCAGCTGATTGTTCAGTTGTCAGCAGTCTGAAGAGTTAGATAGACTGAGAGGCAGTTGGCATAGTTTCCTGCGGGGGGGGGGGG